TCCGTCAGTTCCAAATGCATTGGATTTTAAGGTATAAAATATTGAACCTAAATCTGAACAATTTATTGGACAGAAACTGCATTTATGACTACAAAAATAACTATTTTCATAGAAAGAGATCTTTTTTGAATTGGATGAATGTTATTGTTGAAAACAGAACAAAAATATTTGTTTATTTCTGTAGGATCTTTGCGATGGGTGGGAATCTCGCTATACTTAGATTTTTGTATACGCATTAATTTGAGAGCTTTATAAAAATTCGTAGAATCATTCTGTTCACTAAGGAATCTTTAATAAGCTGCCTTTTAGAATCTAATTATCTCTGAGGTTGAGTTCCGTAATCTTTTGTAAAATTTCCATGAGTCATCTGATTCATCACGTCTAAATTGAGTAAGTGCTTTGTTTTTTCTCTTAATTAAAAGTTTCACATCTGGCGTTAACCACGGAGCAAACGGCTTACTGACTCGCACAATGTTTAAGGGTGCATGAATATCAAAAATAGACTTGATATCATGAGTCAAATATGATACCTTCTGGTTAATGTCATCTATCTCGAAAAATTCATCCCAAGATCGAATTGAAAGTTTTCCAAGGATAATTATTGAGAAAATTATTTATTCGCGTCGTGGCAGCTTAAATTATTTACATTGCGTAACATTACATCAAGTATGATACCGATCGTTCAGTAATCCACATATCCTATATGACAATAGGTTCAAAATGTCGAACATGTTCAGCAATAAACCTTCATGATTGTCTGGCTGCTAAATGAAACCACATATGCCGATGACGACGATTGGGCCACAACGGTGGCCTTTTTCGAGAACAATTGACAATTCTGACAATACATTTTATGTGTCTTCGTTTGTTTTTCTTCTTTTTCACATTCCTATACAGTGTTATACTAAAATAGTCGGACGCTCCTATAACATGCTGAGAATGTACGAAGCCACCATTGTAATATAGCCAAGCTATAGCGAAAATGTTGCTGGCTACTCAATTTCTGTTAGATATGCATACAGCATGATTGCTGGAGATAATTTTAATATGCTGCATATTCGTTGTCTCTCAGACTTGCGAGGTCGTCAGAACTATATTTCTGGCCTTTGTGAACAATATTTCTTTTCTCTTATGGAGATGCCGCTGGTTTATCAGTCATTTCTTATGCTATATTTTGTTTTTGACTCGCGATGACATCCCTATCTATCTGACATTTGTTTTAATTATGTGCAGCTTTTGTTTAAGCATTTTTTCTTATCTGCGATTGTCTAAATTCTATCCACATCAATCAAATAAGGATGTCAACAAGACTGGAATAACCCAACACTATTTTTTTCAAATAGTTTATTTGGAAATATTAGCCATGGTATAGATATGGTGGAATAAAAGTACATATCCAGTTATTATTGCGTCTATTAGAGGGCTACGATGGTTAAAGTTAACAATAGAATAGCCACTAAGATCTAGATCCAGACTACTCCGATGGAGTCTCTTAGCACCGCATACTGTATCTTGATAATTGAACACAGAGGCATGTGTCTCTAGAATGGTCGCTACGAATACTTGCAATAAATTGACAACTGACAATCACGACAAATTACACATGGTCACAAAATTAAAAAAGTGGTGTGTGCTCGGGGACAGGCATGTTTTTTTATGTTGAACACGAATCTGAACAAAAATTAGGGGACAAATCTTAAAGGAAATGCATAAAAACTATCCACAGGTCCACAACAAAATGATAATGTTTAGGCCTTAGGCCTTCGTGGTAGTTGGAGTATAAAAAAAATAATAGGTGTATGCTGGGGATCTGACTACATTTTTCTCACGTATTTTTCCTCTGACCCCAAATCTGAAGTAAAAATTGGGGAAAGATGAACAAATATATCTACTCAGTGACATTAGTGTTACACTCAAAAAAAATAACTTCTTCAAGTTGTTTTTCTGGCAACATAATGACTATATTTAAAGCATGCTGAGACAACAATGTCAACGTTTTACCTTTGTTTTTGTTTGCCTTTGTCAAAATGTTCTCTTAGTTTGTGTGAAGAAAGAAGTTTCTCAGAGCTGAGTAATACAGATATTTTTAGTTGCCCTTTTATAAGAAAATGCCTCGAGTTTGGAGACTTCCAAATTATCACCATGTTAGCGACTTTGACAGGGATAGAATAATTACCTATCAGGATGTAGGTTTGTCCTAACGTGAAATTGGCTGCCGTGTTAATTGTTCTGCATTGACGGTAATGCGTGTGTGTCGTGCGTGGAAGAAGATGGTAGAGGAACACGCAGAAGGACAGATCGCTTGAATTACGCAAGCACACCATTGTTTGTGCTCCTCAAGCCATTGCTTTTTCAGTTCACTGAGGCTTACCACAGAGCGTCAAGATAGGCACCTCAGACAACTAGCCTTACGAGGCCGTTTTGATACTACGCCTAATATCGACGACCAATAGTTTGGAGAAGAAGGTAGACCTGTTACTATGCGTTTCATACCGTCCGCGGTTAGTGCTTCCTTTTACTGCGGACCACTACTGACGTGAACGTTTGAACTGGAGAAGAGAACGACAACATTGAGAGGCAGAATAGCATAATGTCAACTTCAGCGACGAATCGCGATTCGGTCTAGGTACCCACGATGGTCGTAGAAGGGTAAGACGCCGCCGCGGAGAACGGCGTGATATTGGATTTGCTGTTGAAAGGCATGTGCACAGAACTGTTGGAGTAATAGTTTAGGGTCTATTGCCTATGGTAGCCGATCTCCGCTTCTCTTTGTTCAAGGCAATATGACTGCTGCGCGTTATGTTGATGATGTCCTACAAACCGCTTTACTGCCGTATATAGAGAGCCGTCCACAAGTCTTTTTTCAGCAAGACAACGCATGTCCCCATATTGCTCGTCGTACAACGGACTTTCTTCAAGAAGCAAGCGTTAATGTTTTGCCCATCGAACATGTGTGGAATATGATGGGGTGAAGATTATCCACTTTGCACCATCCTCCACAGACTCTGCCACAGATAATTAATGAAGTTCGAGTTGCTTGGAATGAAGTGCCATCATATCATTTAATCGATGCCTAGACGTATATAGGAGTGTATTCAACTGCGGGGTCGCCCAACACATTATTATTTCTTTTTTCTTATTACTTCTCAATAAAATTTCGTGAGAATGTTATCGTTTCATTCTTGATGTAAGACTACCTCATTACCAAAAAATCAAGAATATATTTTTGCTGGGTGTAACGCTTCTAATGTCATTGTGTATATGAAAGTAATTTAGAGGGAATTAAAAGATTTAGTCGTTTTGGTGGATGAGATTCTGCCAGAGACATCTGAAGAGATGCACATTCACCAAAAATACCAAAATGTGTGATCTTAATAACTGAATTACTTTCTTGTTTCTGCAACGACCCCAAAATTCTGACTTTAGGCTCGTGCTCAGCGTGAAAAAGTACGTGGGAAAAACATAATGGGATCTCAAGCACATACCACTCATCTATTTTGTAGGCCTGTGTTACTTTTCACCAAAAGTACGATGCCATGACAACTTAAAACTTGTTGCTTTAGTAAGTTTCAAAATAGTTGCTCTGTATGTGGCGCTACTGATTACATGATTGATTATGACGTTTCTGATTTTGACAGACGTGAAAGATTCGAATGATTTAACATAGTCAACCAGAAAACACTCAATCAAATTATGCGCGAAAATAAACATATGCATCGTTGTGTTACTATAACGTACATATAACTGTGGACCGCAGTCTTTGAGTCTTGGTGTTGCCTCCCTTGGAACTGCCACAGATTATAGGATTTCTTTTCCCTTCGTTGAGAGGTTTTGTGAATACGAAATCTCAGAACTAATTACAAGGAAAGCTTAGAGGTGATATTCCATTCCCAAGTTGTTGTCCTGTTTGAGAATAAAGAATTTTCTTCAAAAGAAAAATGGTGCCTGTTTTTATTACTTCTAAGATAATTACCGTGGTCGTACTTGGTAACTTGTCTGTAACGATGTATATGAATATGTCCTAATATAGCATAGGGTTGGTCACCTTCTTGGAGAACAGATTAATCAATGGTCATACGTAGCAATTAGTTACTTCGGTAGTGTTCAGCATTGTTGTGCCTAATTATAACGGCTATAAGGACTATCTGAATGTACTAGATATTACTCGTAGATAGTAGCAGACTTCTGCATATGCTGCATTGCTATTTGGAATAGATTTCCCAAATGTGCTGAGTATACGTCATTAAATGTTTATAATGGCCTAGACTATTACTACTGCGTTGTAATAAAGCATTACAGTGCTCTGACTCCCTGAATGCGGTCATATAGCAACAATACGTGGCGACGTATTGAGACCCCATGTGACGTACAGTGTTCTGAAGTATACTAAATAAGTCCAATGAAGAGTCTTTAAACCGAACATATAAAATCATATACAACGTAAATCTACATTAAAACAGATTTGTTTCAATATCACTTGTTGCGTTTCGAATTTTGAGCCAACGACTTCATGTATTTTTAAAAAAATGTCCAAATAAAAATTATTGGGCACACTGTTTCGAGAATGTTCACATACGGGTGTTTATTGTGCATCGTGTCATATGAGCTTCGATATCAAATAGGCAGCAGCGATGGCGTAGTGGAAGATGCTACGGTCTCCTAATCAGTCGCCGTGCGTTGCGCGGGTTCGAATCCCATCCCACGAGATTTTTTTCTTTTGGTTATGGATGTTGTGATTGTGGTAGACGGTCTCTGATTGTCGAACGTGGAGATACCACCCGGCGGATCTCGTAGATGGGGCCAGAATGTGTGCATGCTGTATATACACATGTTCCCTCGCTAGAGTCCGTGTGACGTCTTCCCCTTTCCCCTATAACGGTACCCCAAGGTACCGCGTGGGTGTTTAGGCCTTAGGCGTTCGTGGTAATTGGAGTATAAAAAAAAACAGGATGAGGGAAAGGAACTTGGAGGAAATAAAGAAGTAAACAAAATATACAAATATATATGCTTTTATGCATTGGTGGATGGAGTGATTTTGCCATCAGATTTTTCTTCAGTCTCCTTTAGAGGCTTTTGGAAAATGATCCGGTAAAAAAGTGAACCTGCAATGGAACCTGGCAATGGACCTACCCAGTATACCTGAAATATTAAATCTCATCAGCAGATCCGTAATTACTTAATAGTCATTGTTTACCAAGAGAGCACATCTAAATTGATTGCCTGACCTAAATATGATTTCAATATAAGGTTTCAAAAAAACATTTGCGCTACATCTCATTGAGTAGCCAAATGAGCTTAATGGCAAGTGTCCAAGCGCACAGTGGGCCAGGAAGGAACAAAACCTGGCAAAAATAGGAAAAAATGTTAGACTAAAGTTATGCATGTATTGCTACCTGCACCGAAAGCAACAAAGATTATATTTATTTAGCAAAAATCATACTGAAAAGTAGTTTTATCACATAAAGTCTTCTCCTTGGACGGGCGGCTTTGTACCGTATGCTGTGAGAGTGGCGATCGACTGCTATTTTAGTGGTAGTATATTGGAAGCCACTATGCAAAATTATTGTTCTATCTTCAAGTTAGATATATTATGAACATTTTTCAGTGATGAACAAGGGCGTAACTAGATCAAGGAAGGGGGTGCACCTTGCAAAAATTTTTTGGAGGAAGTTCCACAAATCATATCTACTTAACTATGCTTGATATTTTTCTATTTGCACTCAATCGTTTCATCCATTTATATACAGTCGTTTACGATAATTTGACAATTCATATGGATATGGAAAACTACTACTCAGAATAACTTTTTTGAAACATTTAAGCAAATATTGCACGAGATGCTTTTTAAGTAACAAGTTAGTCGTTTGCAATACTTGAGATATGACGAATGTTTGGTATACTGCAAATTTTCTATTCCTATTTTTTGGGCGCACATATCCCGCAAAATTAAGCAAGATGCTCATTTTTTCAGTCAAGAACTGTAGTTAATTGCGAAAAAACTTGAAATGGAAGAATAATTCGTTCGACTGGCAATCCTGGGACTCCTATTACAGACAGAAAAATGTTTATAGTTTTTTTTAATTGGTCCTGTAGAGTAACCGTAAAAAAACTTATTTAATCATTAGTCCTTCTACAACTTGGAAAGTATCACTGGAGTTTGAAGGCCGATCTAATGGTACCAGTATTATGATGATTCAGAACACAATCAAAAGTTTTCTTAGATGTGACAAGATTTAGAAAGGAGTCAAACTTTGTTCATTGATATATACTCAGAGTTACACCCAGAAAACATAATTTCTTCAACTTGTTCTTTTGGTAACATAATGACTTTATTTAAAGCATCCTATGGCAACAATGTCAATGTTTTATCTTCGTTTTTGTTTACCTTGTTAAAATGTTATCTCTTAGTTTTTCTGAAGTAATCAGCATCTGCGAGCTGAGTAGTACAGATAGTTTTAGTTATTGCCCTTTCATTTGCTAGTGTTAAGCATAACAAAATGCCCCGAGTTCGAGGACGTCCAAATTATCACCATGCTATAGCGACTTTGACAGGGGTAGAATTATTGCGTATCGAGATGTTGGTTTGTCCTACTGTGGAATTGGCCGCCGTGTTAATTGAACTGCAATGACGGTAATGCGCGTGTGTCGTGTGTGGATAAAAGAAGGTAGAGGAATACGAAAAAGTCCAACTGGTCCACCGAGGCGTACCACAGAGCGTCAAGTTAGGCGCTTCAGACAACTAGCTCTACGAGACGGTTTTCCACCTACGCGTCAGATCACTGACCCATGGTTTGGAGAAGAAGGTAGACTTGTTACTATGCGTACACTCTATCCGCATTCGAGCCTTTGGACTTTTTTCACACCGTCCATGGTTAAAGCTTCCTCAGTCTGCGGACCACTGTCGTCAACGTTTGAACTGGACAAGCGAACGGCAACATTGAGAGGCAGAATAGCATAATGTTATCTTCAGCGAGGAATCGCGATTCTGTCTAGGTACGTACGATGGTCGTAGAAGGGTAAGTCGCCGCCGTATAGAACGGCGTGATATTGGATTTGCTAGTGAGAGGCATTATACACAGGACTGTTGGAGTAATGACTTGGGGGGCTATTGTGTGTGGTAGCCGATCACCCATTCTCTTTAGTTCAAGGCAATGCTGCGTGTTATGTTGATGATTTCTTACAAACCACTTAACTGCCGTATCTACACGGCCGTCCACACGTCCTTTTTCAGCAAGACAATGCACGTTGCCATATTGCTCGTCATACTACGGACTTTACTCAAGGAGCAGGCGTTAATGTTTTGCCGTGTCCACCTCGTTGACCGTCGAAAATGTGTGGGATATGATGGGGAGGAGACTATCCACTTTGCACAATCCGCCACAGACTCTGCCACAGCTAATCCACGTAGTTCGAGTTGCTTGGAATGAGGTGCCACAACCAGAGATCAATCATCTCATTTTGTGGATGGCTAGTCGTATGCAGGAGTGTATTCAGCTGCGGGGTTGCCCAAAACGTTATTAATTTTTTTCTTATACTTGTCAATCAAATTTCGTGAGAATGTTATCGTTTCATTCTTGATGTAAGACTACCTAATTGTCAAGAAATTAAGTTGAAGAAATTATTTTTCTGCGCGTAGCACTTCTAATGTCACTGAGTGTATTTTAAGACATAGTCAAACGTTTATTTAAAGGATTCAAATATTTTCAAATCCGCTAAAACTCGTTTTTAAAATTCTAATCATCCAGTAACTTTTATATAACTAAAAACACAGTACGACCATCACGAGGTGTGCATTTCGAAAATATGTATAGTAGAATCCGCGTTGAAAGATCGGGAAACTAGAAAGGTCACAAAACTTATTTGATCAGGATAACTAGCCAAATGTGAACCCTGTTGTGGAAGAAATTGAACAGAAGGATTCATATACTCTTTAGAGTGAATGCTAAGACCCCTCATCCCGAAATAAAAAAATCTGGGTAACATTTTTTGTCAAACTGTAAAGGTATAAGTCTATTGAACAACTGGGAAAGGGATGAAAATGCCTTCAAATTGAGAACTAATGGGAATCTCCAGTTCGTTACCACGGTTAACTGGTTATTGCCAAATATCGTTGATTTTTTACCGAAAACTGCACGAGAGTAAATATGGCATTAGCAAATACTGATCGTGTGACCGTTTCTTTACCGTTTTCAAGATCCCAAAGGCGAGGTTCTAATTTGAAATACATGTAACATATATAGTGCTTTCATCAGAGTTAAGTTGTCAATCCTAGTAATTTCTCATCCAATATATATATATATATATATATATATATATATATATATATGTGGAGTACAATGTACATGAATAATTAATTTTTTTGTGAAAAATGTACTTTCTATTCAATTTTTCGGGGGACAGTGCACCCGCCTTGCCCGCCCCCACTGGGTACGCCTTTGGTGATGAAATACTTAAGTTATTTATATCTACAAGTTAAACGAGGTATTTGGTATATTCTCTGCCAGTACATCATTTATCTTTGATATATGAAATTATCTTCATCGATCTTCAACAATCTGTGCATTTCAAAGTATTCTCGAAAACTTCATTTAATTGCGCAAAGCAAGCTTAGTCACTAGATTTAACCGGTTTGTTCACAATATTGAATCATGTTGCACGCTGCGCGTCGCAGGGACTATAAACATAGTCCGTCAGAAAGAACACATCTTTTTTAAATGAGTAATACAGTCAAAATAAGTATGGGAAAAAATATTTTATTATATCAAAATACTCAAAAATACATGCCGTTTTGTGATTAAAAAAAAATTTACGTTATAAAAACTATGGCGGCCATATGGCGCCCTTGAGCCGAAATGCAGGAATCAAGCCTCGCCGGCGATATTTCATGGCCCCCTCGCTCCCCGGACCTGTCAACGTGTGATTTTTTTATGGGGCTACCTAAAATCAAAAGTTTACCAAAGCAAGCCTCGGACTCTCGTCGATTTGAAGGATGAAATAAGAAGAGAAGTAACCCAAATTCCTCCACGCATGCTGGCCGGCGCAATGGGCTCATTTCGGGAGAGAGAAAAAATGCCATGTATTTCTGAGTATTTTGATATAATAAAATACTTATTTTGACTGTACTACTCATTTAAAAAACATGCGTTCTTTCTGACGGACCCTGTATTAGAAACTGCCAGACTTTTTGGGCAGAAGTACCATTGGTACCATATGCTCCACTCTGTGCAATTTATTTTCGTTCATAGTGCTGATATACCCGTAGGTTTTTATTCTGGGGAGGCTTTAGAAGCTGAAACATAAACGAGAATATCAGGCATTTCAGGTAGGTATTATCATTATCTCTGTTGTTTTTCTTCAATATCTTGATAATTGTGGCTTTTGTTCTTCGTATTTAACAAATGTTAGAAAGTCGTGAATATTTTCTGGCGGACTTAAACAAGTAAATTTTATAGAACTCGTAAAATATCTCAGGACCATGGAGCACTTGCTTTTTTAGACGGATACTCACTGGGGTGATTTTTCTTTCATCACTGTGATTGCAACGGACCAAGCATATTGACGTCAAACCGGAGCGACTCTATCCTCCTCATGTAATATTCAGGTATAACTCAATATTTATAAAATAATTTCAATTTAATATCGTCCCATAACTAGGAAAATGAACTATGCTCTAGTGAGCTTGTTTTTTGCTAAAAGCAAAGAAAACAAGTATATTTGTTGTTTATGAATGGGGATTGTTTGCCAGGCTTTGTACTCCCTGCCCATTGTGAAGCGGGTGCATTCACTTATGTCCACATTCACCAATTTATGTTAAACAATGTATTCATGTACTTACCCAGTGATATCCCCAATCACCGTTGATCAATACAGGTCCGAAGGTCCTCGCAGGATTCAGATGCGCACCGGTAAAGCCACCCTTTAAGTGATCATGATAAAGGGTATAAATAACAGACAACATAAAAATCGAATTTTAATGTTATAGACATATACATCACGAAAAGCCCTACCACTTCCCTCGGCCGTTTGTAGCCTGTCTGTCTATCGCCAGTTATATGCCCGCTAATCCTTATACTCCCTAAAATTGCAAACCCTTTTTTTTCTTATCGAAGCAGCCGCGCAGGAAGAAGCCTAAATGCCGGAACACCGCGGCTGCTATGATGATCACAAAGAAATTCTGTTAATACGATTTTTGAACTGCCTAAGGTTAGTAGAACTGTAGATGGTTCCACAATCTCGACACCCTCGGGACAAAGGAGCGGTCGTATCGGCCAGTTCTGGATGTACGAAGTTCGACACGGTTAGGATGGGACGCCAAAGCCAAGAGCTCTGAGGAGCAAAGCCCGTTGGTGTAGCGGTAGAAAAGAGCTAGATCGCCGACAATACTCGAGGCTAGGCTTTATCTGGGCCTTGTATAGAGTGAGAAGGTCATGCGGAGACAAGTACTTCTTAGCCCTAAACAAATAGCCTAGGTTTTTCCCAACAGCTGCTGTTATTGACGAGATGTGTTCGTGCCAGATCAGGTCCTCGGTGATCTGGACTCCGACCAGCCGAAAGGAATGGCTCTTTGTCAGAACTCGTCCATCCATCGAAACCGGATGAGCGCTAGGACGCTTATTGTTCGTCAAAGTACAGTACTGTGTTTTGGAAGCATTGAACTGTACAAGATTGTTGCATCCTCAAGCAGTGATAGCCTCCAGGTCTCTTGTCAGAGAGGAAGTCGTCGCTAGTCTTCTTCTTTCCAGCTCAGCGGCAGAGATCGGCTTGTCACACTGAATTCCTGCATGTAGAGCGCTGTCATCAGCGTCGAAACAGTGTTGGAGCCAAGACCGATCCCTGTGGAACACCCGCGTTGACGTTGTGGGACGGGCAATTACGACGGATATCTTACGGCCAGAGATAAAGTGAGCCACCCATCTGCAAAGCTTTTCTGGAAGACCATAGGATGGAAGTTTTCTTAAGAGGGCAGCGTGCCACAGCTGATCGAACGCTTTCGTGATCTCAAGAGCAACGACATGAGCCTCACCAAGACTGGATGAGTTTACTGCACAATTGCGTGACGTAGGCTAGGAGGTCGCCTGTGGATCGTTGGTGCCGGAAACCATACTGCCTGTCGCTAATCACGCTGTAACTTTCGAGGTAGTCCAGAAGCTCGCGATTTAAGCACCTCTTCATCACCTTATTTATAACAGAAAGCAGAGCTATAGGCCTGTAGTTGTAAGGGCCAGTCTTAGAATGGGTTGGATATGAGCAAATTTACGCGCTACTTGGAATTTGATAAAATATTGATACAATAAGGAATAAATAATTTAACCAATGACATACTAATTATACTCCACCGGAAGATGCCTAATCCAATTGAAAATCGCACCTGCACGAATATAATCAGATCGGTGCTCAGTATGTTCCTCCTTAATAGTCCTAAAAAAGTAGACAATTTCGCGATTGTGAAAACGTCAGAGCTATTTCTCTAGCGCATAGAAAATATAGCAAAGCAACTCCCTATTACCACAAAGTTGACAAAAGTGAGGTTGAAAATGGATACAGTCATATGTTAACAACTAAGTATTGAGCAAAATTTGGAAAAATAAATACACAAATTTTTTGGTATTTTCAATTAGACAAATGATTATTATTTGACTTGCATCGGTTTGATTGGATATTTGTTAAGAAATAGACGCTTTCATATTGGTATCTTCACGTTTTTGAAAAGATGTTTATACGGTCAAGTTTATCTAGTAATTTTATACCTAGACACAACTTTGTTCTAAGAAAAAGTTAAAAAAAAACAGTTCCATTTTTTAGAATAGATGTTGTATTATTTTGTGTAGTATTTTTACTCCTCTTATGACTCTCAACATAATTTAAGTATACAGGGTGTTTCACAACTTATCCGACAAATTTTAACCACATATGCACCGTTACGAAATAATCTGATTTCTCAAAAAAAAAAATGTAATAAAAGTCCTACAGAAATCGAGATACCTAATAGAATAATACAGTTTAACAGTTCACTTACTTATAAAAGCTGTTCAAAATTGTTTCCATTGACTGCAATGCAACCTTGGCGCGTCTAATCCAATTTCGGCGCACTAATTCAAATACACCTCCTTCCTGCTGTGCCTGGAGGCTCAAATTATCGGCAGCCACTGTGGTCACACAATTCATCAATATTCTGACCTGGAGTACGGCATACCTCGTTTTTCAAGTATCCCCATAAAAAGAAGTCTAGAGGACTTAGATCGGGAGACCGTGGAGGCCATGCAATTGATCCACCTCTTCAGATCCAGCGTATCTGGTTTACCTGATTCAAAAATTCAACTTCTAAACGAAAATGCGGAGGTGCCCCATCGTGCAGAAATCACATCCGTGCTCGGACCGCCAATGGCACAGCTTCAAGAAAGACCGTCAAATCATTCCGAAGAAATTCCAAATACTGGTGACCATCCATCCGATCTGGCGATATGAACGGTCCAATTAGACGATCATCGATAATACCTGCCCACACGTTTAAAGAAAAACGATGTTGGAAGTGTGTCTGGACCACTGCGTGAGGGTTCTCAAAGGATCAAACGTGTGTATTATGAAGATCACGAGTAAAAATAGCTTCATCGGTGGCCAAAATATCAGCTGCAAAACGGGCATCTCGAGCATTTCCATGCAACTACCCCTCACAAAATCTTACTCTTAGGGGGTAGTCTGTAGGTAGCAGCGCCAGGACTCTCTGGTCGTTTGTTATCTTTTCTATTTATATTCCGCCATCAATTAATTTGGACATGTTTGGTCAGTACCTTGAAGCTTTGGAAGTATTTAACAATGCATTCAGTAATAATTGTAAAATAATTGTTGCTGGTGACATTAATGTCGCATCGTTCAACAGTGACGTTAATGATCAGAAGTTTCAATTAATGAGCAACTTTATTTTGTTTTTAGATTTAACTAATTTTAATAGTATTCCAAATATAAATGATCGAATACTGGATTTAATTTTAGGAAATATTGAAATAGAAGTCCTCAGAGATAATACACCTTCTGTTAAAGAGGACGTTCATCATCCTACACTGATCATGGAATTCATTACATCCGGATCTCCAACGAAATTCCCATTTGCTAATTCTCCACGGTTTAACTTTCGCAAAGCTAACTTTCCTGAAATGTAGACAGCCTTGCAAGGTGTTAATTGGACGGAGGTGATCAGTGCAGTTAATGTTGATGTCGCTTGTACCGCCTTGTATTCAGTTATCAATAACATCTTTGTGGTCCATGTCCCTAAATGTAAAAATAAAATGTTTTCGTATCCCCCATGGTTCACACGTGAAATTATACTTAATATCAAGAAGAAGGATATAGCAAGAAGGAACTGGAAACGTGACGGTACTAAGTTTTCTTATGATCAGTTCAGTAATTTTAGGAAGCTCATTAAGAACCAGATCAGTGTTGCCTACTCCGCTTACGTCCAATCGGTTGAGGATGCCATTGTCAATGATCCTAGCAAATTCTGGTCATTTGCCCAGATCAAAAAACAGCAATCTAGAATCCCCCAAGGATGACGCTTAACGGCAATGTCTGCGATACGCCTCAGGATATAGTGGACAGTTTTGCTACCTGCTTTTCAACAGTTTTTATCCCGGCTGGTCTACTAGGGTCATCTCCTCCAACAAATAATTCTACCGATATCATTTCTTTAAAAAATATAAGTGAAGAAAACGTAATTAGGGCTTCGAAAAGATTAAAGAACAAAATGACGTCTGATGTGATGGTATTCCAAGTTTTTTCGTTAAAGATTGCATTCATATACTAGCGAAACCGCTGGCTTCCATATTCAACCTAATTCTAAAATCAGAGATATATCCAAATATCTGGAAGACCTCTAAAATATGTCCTATTCGCAAAAGTGGAGATATCTCTGATATTTCCAACTATCGCCAAATAGCAATCCTGTGCAATTTCAGCAAGTTGTTTGAGATCATCGCTTATGAAACGGTTTACTGCTCGGTCAGGGGTGCAGTCTCTATTAATCAGCATGGGTTTATGAGAGGCAGATCTACGGTCACCAACTTGGCTCTAATTACTCAGTACATTTCTGAAGTACTGGACGGTCAGGGACAAGTTGATGTCATCTACACAGATATTCAGAAGGCGTTTGATCAAGTTGATCATTATGCACTTCTGGATAAGCTTAAAACAGTGGGTATGTCTGATGCAATGCTGTCGCTCATGAATTCATATTTGAGGGATAGAAGGTTATTTGTCGAATATGGTGGTCATAGGTCGAGTTACTATCGGGCCACGTCTGGGGTACCTCAAGGGTCAAATCTAGGTCCATTATTGTTTTTAATATTTATTAATGACTTGTCTTTTGAACTGAAGTGTTTCCATTTGTTTTTCGCTGATGACCTTAAAATCTGCACGTCAGTCAAGACAGTCGAGGATTGCGTCATGTTGCAAGATGACTTAGCTCTAATTTCGTCATGGTGTTCACGAAACTGTCTCAGTCTGAATGTTTCGAAATGTAAAGTTATGACTTATACAAGAAAAGTTAACTATTTAATTTATGATAATTATAACATCAATGGTCAGGTTATCGACAGATGCACCTCTTATAGAGACCTTGGAGTCATTTTTGATACCAAGCTAACGTTTACTGAGCATATACTCAATATATCGTCGGCTGTCACTCGACTACTTGGTTTCTGTATCAGAAACTGGAAGGGTTTCTCCAATGTTGATATATTAATGACTTTATTTTTTACTTTTGTCAGGAGCAAGTTGGAGTATGCAACTCTGATCTGGTCTCCTATATACCAAAATGCTGTCGTGATCCTTGAGGCCATTCAACGTAAAGCTTTAAAGTATTTTCACCTTAAATGCACAGGTTCTTATCCAGAAAGAGGTTGTGATCATAGTGCCCTATTAGAG